AGGAAGCCGATTGGGTATTATGATAAAACCGTCAGATGTTCGCCTTAACCCACGTGCAAATGACCCTTATGCTTGGAAAGTATTGCCCGGGAAAGAAGCCTTTTACTCCCAGATTTTCGCCAAGAGTTTGAGCGACCATTCAATTGGCACGTATCGATTGCTCTGCGAAGAGGTTGGAAAGACTTTCGAGGCTGTGCTTTCGGTCGCACAAGTCTCGAAAGTTCCTGAGACAATTACGACGGTAAGCTATGCAAGCCAATCTACATAAGTCTCTTCTGATATCCGTCACAGCTTCCGGGGCCAAGTTTTAGTGCTAGAATTGACCAGATGAGAGGTGACAATGAACGACTCTTGAAGGAGGTAGGCGAATGGAAGAGCCAAGCAACAGCGGAGATGAAGCGTCGAGAAGCTGCGGAGCAAGAGATCTGTCGACTACATTGTATCCAAGGAGAGTTACGAGACCAGATACAGACTCAAACAGCCACCATAACTTGCATGAGGGACATTATCTTGAACTTCACCACTGGGCTAGACAAAATGTGGCCAGTGATGGAGAGTTTGAGAAAAGAAGTTTCTCATGATCGAGGTGTTCAAGAGGTGGCTGAGTTGTTCTACAATCCTGAGGACTGATCTACGCTTGTTTTTCCGGCTATGAAGATTTACCCTCAAACAACCGCGTGGTGAAGAAAATAGCACCGCGTCATTTTTCGCCTATGCAACCGTCACCCCCGTATGGGACGCCGCCTGTATCTCGACTGACTCTCCGGACTAGACTTGGGGACTCGGAATGTCCCCCAAATATTTGCGCATGTCTCGCGAGTTCAACGAGGACCCATTCTAAGTCAAAGATAGGTCCTGAAGCTGGACCACCTCATATATATCATGGACCTATCTACTACACGCTAGAGGCTAAGGACTAAATACATCTGTCTTGAATATTCAGTGAAGTGGGCAACTTTCAACTTCTCTTCAAGGTGAAAATGACGCGGTATTTCTTGTTCTGCCTTCTTGTCATCTGCACTGCGGCTTCCAATATAATAGAAGATGCATTTGTTTCTTTGCTCTCGGACAACGATGTGCTCACTTCCACTGTATCCCTTCTTATCGACCCTGAAAGGAGCGCCAAGGCAGATATTGTTTCCGTTGCAAGCCAGGGCCTAAATGCCCAGAGGGATCAAGAAGCCCAGGTTACACTGATGGCCTCTTTTGCGGGGAACCCTGGCACGCAGTTCTTTCTGGCAATCAAAAGCACCGACCTTGCCATCGAGAACAGCTTCAACAATATCATTTCAATGCCATCCCCTTCGACTTCTCAGCACGAAGCTAAGTTGATTGCTTCTGCAAGGTATACTCCTCTAAATGTCACATCCGAGCTTAACTAATCGTCTAGGAACCTGATTCTAAGCGATCTATCGCAACTTATTGACTCGGCTCAGGAGTCAGTTGGCGATGAGCCCGCACACCCGCTTTTCTCGGTTTTACCCTCCAATTGAAATGTATTGAACAGACCGCGATACTGGGGAGACCACAGTCTCGAATCTAGCTACCACATAGAAATAGATGGTCTAAACAATGCGAATACTGCCTATCACATCACGATTGCATGCGTTAAAGATTGACATTAGCTGAGAATCGTGTTCTCAAAATTGCGACGAGTCATATTTACCGAATAAAATCAGTCTAGAATAATAGTATACTGATCTGTTGCTTTCGCTGTTGTGATGCAATTTGCATGGATCTGAGTTTGTGACTTCTGGGGTTGCAACTCAAATGCACGAGAGAACCGTTTGATCGTTAACTCATGCATTTGCCAATGATTGAGACCGGAGAGCAGCGCCTACCGCTGAACAACACCCACTCAAGATTACGTAGTCGGAATACAAGGAAACCTTCATGATGTAAGAGCCAATAGTGAATTCTTTTAAATGGAAACTCAGTGTAGCAAGACAAGATTAGGTAGGTTGTAGGAAATAGTCACCTACCGGCTGCCAGGGGTAAGATCCTGAACCCCCAACGGTTTAAATAAACAAAACCTATGTCAATAGAGATTGCCGAGGCTTTGATGCTATTCTCGGTATTCTCAACGGGATGAGGAAACACTTTATGAAGAAGCTTCTAGAATCATAATGAGAGTATAGGATCCGCACTAGCTTCGGGGTCCCTCGAATTGCACATGTCTCACTACATGAATTGATTTCAATGGCATGAGGAGTTTGGTTATTTTAAAGCGAGTATGCGAAGGGAAGCAAGAAAAAGTCTCAGGATTATGCGGCTTTTCTTTTGTCACTTTAGATATAGGTTCAATGGGATCCCGATTCTATGTTAAGTCAACGAGATATTAGGGATGTCTCGTGCCGTGTGAGGCTATGAATTTGGAAGGCGAGTCCTTGGTTCTTTGCTGTCACTGGAGGTGGTCCAGCTGTTGGAAAGTCAAACCTGAACACCGCTGCGCTCATAAGCCAAGCAGACTAGAGGACAGTATCGGGCATAATTTTAGGATCCTACGGAAACATGCCCTTCCTTGACTCATATGCATGGAACAAGGATGCTCCTAGTTTAACGATGTGCTGCGCCTTGCTGAGACATACTCAAGCAGATGAGTGACAATCTATAAAGAGCGGCTGGATGTCCTCATGGATAGTTCACCTTCGACGAACTACAACTCTCATTATATATATTTACATCTAGAATATTCACGCGATGGCTTTCTCAACAGTAAAGACTCATGCTGTCCAACACCAACAACAACGGCCCCAGCTGCCCACTCAACGGAAAGGGCCCCCCTCTGCTACACACGCCATAGATACTCTTTCACGCGGTGGACGGCCTCCATCACCCAGTGCACTGCCTCCAATCCTTGGGACTACGGCCAGTCAACTTGGGAGAAAAACTTCGGATCAAGGAAAGCGAAACCTCCAAATGCCTGAGCAGCTCAAAAATCACGAAACTCTCCATGTTCAGCTGAACAGGCCACCTATTAAGCTTCAAAAATCTTACGCTCTCAGTGGGGACCGCCGCACTTCAATTTCGGGATATCCCCAAGGGGATATCAGGGAGGATGGTTCGGTTCGACCGAGTGCGACGAAGCGAAGCTCTCCTGATAGAGCTCCAGGCTGTGAACTGAGATCGAAGCCTCAAATTATAGCGCCCCATGGCAAAGAAGCAGCGCTTATCCCTCAGGACAGAAGTACATGCCTTGATCAGTCAAGTGATGGTTCATATACAGACTCGTTCATCGATCAAGGGCAAAGCTCCGTGAGGCCTACAGCCTCTCAGGCTGCCAACTCGACGGCTCAGAGACTACCTTCTTCTATATTAAGGAAGATGTATCATGGCACAGTGCCGTCCAGCCTTTTCAACAATAAAAGTCCTTCTTCGGAGACTCAGTCGAGGAGGAGGGATAATATAGTCACCGATTTGGAAATTGAAACCCCGAATTATAGTATGTCAAGGACCAAGTCTCCTGTCAGAAATGCCAAGGCAGGCGACTATTTACTTGAGAAGCAAACTGTCAGTTTGAGTCATCATGAGAAGAAACCGTCAACGCCTTCATATCCTGGAATCAGCAGTGGGATTTCCCCATCTGATGCCCACATTGGTGTTGGGGAAACTTCAAGCAAACGTAACACCGCCGCTAAGCAGACTCCTGCCAATCATCTGGCTGCCAATACAATGGCAAACAAATCAGGGCCGTTGCCTGTTTTCCAAGAATCGACTAGACTTCCATCAGTTCAAGTTCCACACGTTAATACGCCACTTCCCGCTTTCTCACACAAGACTGTCACTAACAGAGAAAAGTTGACTTTACGAGAAATGGCAACCTCTTTGCTCGAAACTAACAAAGAAGCCGAGGATTCTCAAATCTCAGACGAGCAGAGAGCACAGTCCTCAGTCTCGGTCAAGGAGTGCGAGGCGGTTCTCAACAATGCCCAAACTGCTGTAGGTACAATCCAGACAGACATCCCACCGTGTTACTCAACCAACAAGCCCACTATGGCGAGGTCACCTCAACTCTCTTCTGATCAGAGTTCAACAATACGTCGTCCAGCGACAGCGAGTAGAGTTGTTTTGACAGCTTCTATGACTTCTAGAGACCACCTAAACGAGTATGATGGATTGAAGGAGCAAGCTGAATGTACTGTTTCATCGGCAAATGCGCGGCCGGTCATTCCATACACCTCATTGAAATCGTCCTTTCCCACTCCTCGACGACAGACAGATAACGTCTCGACACTCTCCTCGCCAGAAGGCACAAACCGTTCAGAGAGACTTAATGCGTTATCAACAGAAATCAAGCAGATCTCACATGCCTCCGAGAGGCTTCCCACGGCGAAGAAAGGCTCTGAAAAGAGGAAGCACTCTCAAGCCGAGGGTCCAAGCGCAAAACGTCCTAAGAATTCGAGGCAACGAAAGTATTCTCGACCTCCTTCTGTCAATGCCGAAGATAATCAATATCGTGTTGAGCGGCTTGAGAGGTTCAACCCCAAAACAAATCGATATTTTGTCAGGTGGGAGGGATATCCATCACGGGATAGAAGATGGGTGTCTCGTTATGACATCGATCAAACTCTGATCGACGAATATCATCAGTTAAATAAATAAGGCCAAGCATAGATTACAGCCATTTATGAGTTATCGAGAAGAATTGTCTGCGACTTTCATATCTTGTTTGTATAGTCTATCAATCTCAACATAATTCGACTCTATATGCTAATAAATTCAACATAGACAGAGGAGCCAGCCTATTCGACACAGACCTAAAGGATATAACTAAGATAGAAATCGCGGGGAACACACAAATGAGACCTTGCACTAGTTATAGTCCTTGCTTTCATGCAGTGGCCATAAGCCAAGCTGATTTCTCTTCTTTCCAAGCTGCTAAGCAGTCCCTCTTTTCATCCCGATCGAGATCCTTGAAATTTCCAACATCAAGAAGCTCTAAATAATTGGCAAGAAATTCCTCTTTCAAATCTTCTAGCGTGGCAGCATCACTGGCTTGGCTAGGCTGTGACTTGGAGGATCTGGCTTTTGCCGCAGGCGTCGGCGACCGAGATGCTGACGACCGGGCAGATTTCGCACGCTGTCGTTCTACGTCGCGTTGAGCTAGGCCAACAGATGGTGACTTACTCGTTGCTCGGCGCTTGCCAGTCTTGGCCTCAGTGTATCTCTCCTCAGCCTCGACCGCGGCATTGTATATAGCAACATCAGCATCCTTCTTTCCCCATCTCGCTCTCAAAGTCGCTCGCGGCTCCCAGCACTTTTTGACTAGACCTTTCCCTACGTCCCAGGCGATTAGGATGTATGTAGGAACATCGGTCCACCTTTCAACCAAGTCGGGGTTTATCAGGTCCAAGTCAGCTGAACCACGCTTGTCTGAAGCTTTCCATGCCACCCCGTATATTCCGCGGATATGCCGTTTTGTATATTTAAACTTGCCATTGTCCAATCTTTCGTCTCCCAGCCTGTTCTTTGGATTGGATACTTTCTGGGCTTCTGGCGGGTCATCCTCGTATTCGGGCGGCTGTGCGTACTTTTCCAGGCGGTACCTCGCAGCGCTTTTCTTGCCGTACTGATTGATGTAGAGCATCGACCGGCCACCAGACCATCCCACAGTCTCGGCATTCTTTGTCGACTTCGCTCCCGGACGGGAATACAGAGGCTTTCCATATTCGGGATCCGAGAACGCTGCGGCATCAGAGTCCGATTCGGAGTCACTTATTTCGGAAATTTCTGCATCAGAGTCAAATAGATTCCCACTATGTCCCTCTTTTTCTCCTTCCTTTTCAATAGATGGCATTGGCTGGTCTGCATCTATGGTGACCTTTTTCTTCCGGTTCTTGGCATTGTCCTCATGTTCATCTCCCTTCGTTTGTTTGGGTGCTTTCTCATTTTCGCCGGACGTATCTGGCTCTCCCGCGGCCTCATCGTTGTCAATATCCATCATATCCATGCTTTGCAGTTGCTCGGCACTCATGGATGCTATCACGTCATCTCTTTCTTTGATGGCACTTTCCAACTGTGTGATCTTCTCCTTGTCTTCAGCTTTCGACTGCTGCTTCAAGTTCATGAGCCTGCGCTCCATTTTCTTCCTTCGAGCCTCAGCTGAAGGCCCGGAGATCTTATCAGAGGTCTTGGTTGGAGCCATTTTCTTTGTCCTTTGCAAGGCGAAAGCCCAGGAAATCAGATATTGTGGTGATCAGCAAACTCTAAAATCTAGAACCGGGAACCAAAGTGGTTATGTAGAAACCTGATCTCTCAGAAGAAGACATCATGTGACATCTTTAAAAGACCAAGTTTTGTCCCAGGGCCAGAAGATGGATCTTTCAAAGCCCATCTTTGCCTTGGTACCAGATATGGGTCTTTTCATGACTCTTAATGATATGTCCGTAATTAAGTCACCTTGATTATCGAAAAACCACTTCGGTCACTCTCCTGTCTTACGGTCAATGGTCCAAGTATAAGTAACCGAAAAGGATAATGAAGCACATGGTGTGAGCGAACTACTCGGGGGATTACAAGATGTATACTATCTAACGCTTTCCTGTTATTGAAAACTTTGTAGAGCACGAGTGCAATCTGGACGAGATGAGATGACAATTTTGGGAACAAGATACATCTTACTAACGGTTCTCTGCTTAAAGTTGGCCCCATTTGCGGCCTCCCTGATCTGTGGATCGGTGTACGTGCCCACGTTCGCGGACACGTTTCGAGAACAGGAGTTAAACACGGCCCAGCCCAGCTCAGCTAAGATAATACTCGCACTCAGACGCACATAAAGCCAGCCTTGACAGTTAAGCCATTACATTCTCCGTACAGCTCTTTACAGAGAAGATTGTGAACACGGCCGTAGAGCTTTGCATCATGACCTTCATTATATGCGGCTGCGGGCTGGTGTCTGTCCTTGCCAAGTCCGCACGATTGCGTGTAGACGAGGATGCCGAAATTCCTCGTCCGGTGGATTCCATAGAAGATTACGCCTCTTCAACAAAGACAGCGAAGTGTGTTCGCTTCTTCAAGCCGAGTCTCCAATACAATAGATCTATGACACCCTCTCCGGCGACGATGAAGACGGGTTTCGAGTCAGACGAGAATGAGCAAGGATCCTAAACATCTACCAATATCTTCCACATAAGAAGCTGCTGAGTCTAGACATATAACTTTCGCTTTGATCTTAGTTTCTATCATCCCATTATGCTCACAGGATATTTTACAAGAATTTCATGCCTTTTTATTTTCAATGACGAGTTGATGGTGTTTCGTCGAAGAATATTCTCCCGACTGGATGATTGCTCAAGAATGAACATTATTAACTACTAGAGGAGATTGGATATACACTCGTTGATGACTTTGATACACTTTTCCACTAAATTATGTATCGGCCATCGTGGTCTTCCCAATAGACCTATTTGGTATGATTTATCAGCCAAATATATCACTTAATGAAATTAAACACCGTGTATGAGAAGTCGATCAAGATCTTAGTTCACTATCTAGAACCCGCCTAATAAGTTACAATAAGCTGATATACCATATTCCAATCGCTACTCAGTGACTAGTGACTAAAAGCACTGAATGTCCAAATAAGATCGTTGTTAGAGACTCTGAGAAGAACCAAAAATGTATCTCCTAAGTGCCAAGCCAAGATATCGCCAATCTTGTTATCCTCTTCGAACCCGGTATACACAGTAGTGTTTACGAGGAAAGGAGCCACGTCGCCCGAATTTGTCGCTGGCAGATTTGGCATCCGGATTTGATCTATATCCGCAAAATTGAGTTTCACATTATAGAATACATCAATGTTCAGGGTGATTCTGTTGAACTTGAGCTGCCGGTTTTCGTCAATCAGATGATCGTTGAGGCATTCACGAAAGAGTGGTCCTGTTTGGGACATGTAAAGGAATGGATATTTGCCGTCATCTGTCGCGAGGAGAAGAATCAAGTACAGTTCCTTGTCAGGATCCAACTTTTCAGGAGTTCCAATAAGGAGCGGAATGATTCTGTCCTCCCGAGCTTGGAGCAACCATCTGCGGTCTTTGAATAACACGTTCCATATATCCGATACTTGAGTATGATCTGCGATTTGCGCCATGTCTGATTTTTGAGATAACTGGTTGTGTAAGACATTGATCCCGAGGCTCACGTCTAAGTACCCTTATATGGATCGAAGAGACTAGGGGCACAGGTCTAGGCCCTCCTTGTGTGCCATCATTCGGTCTATCAAGAACTTTAGCTGTCTCTATGCTACTTTGGCCGGCCCAGATCAAGCCCTGCATGGACAGAAGCCACTTGGACATTATATTATCCCCGGGGCGCGGGTCCACTTTCATGGCCCAACGACTAAGCCCGCTCAAAGGGAACCACGAAAAAAAATAAGAGAAAACATTCAAGACATGAAACCCAGTAGAATCCAAAGTGTCCAACACAGTGAAGTTTATGAAGCACCTTATGATGTAGCTTGGTGTCTTGTTCTGACGGAATTCTACAGAATATAGCACTGAAGCTTGAGCGCTATGACTGGGACCCATATCTATCTATGGTTAGAGAGGTGATGAGAAAGACGCGATGATGGCATGGCGCGGATGGTCCTCTGTTTTGTGCCCCACTATCGCACCTTCAGATAGAAAGGGTACGTAATCCGTATTTTTTTTTTTTTTTCTCCAAACAAGGAGGGAAGCACACTGGGACTCGAGAATTATACAGAATTATACAGGCGAGCTTTTTTAGTCTAGGCGTAGAACGGCGGTTCCAACAGTGGCTTAGCGCTTCATTCGGCAAAATCCCACCCGAGCACTGCCACTGTAGGGCGCTTAACGCGAAATATCAGTCGCTACTCTAAACCCACTTCGCAACGTCCTCAATTCGAGGTCTGGTAAGTCTGGGATTCGAAAACTGCCTTTCTTGAATAAGCCGATTTCACCGAGATCCGCACTATCTATTCCCGAAACCTTCCCTGCCTTGATGTTGTTCCCAGCCCTATCCCTCTTCTTGTCTCCTGTCTTCGTATATTTTGGTTTCCTGGGCAGTCCCTTTGACTTCTTCACGTCCTGTGGAAGGTAATTCGTGGCATTTGGCTTGCTCATCTGTATAGGTCAGTTAGTCCTCCCGAGCAGGCATCCCGGATTTATCGCACGCACAAGCTCTGGTATTTTTCCGATCCAGGACAGGTTCTCCTTCGACGTGTATGTATAGAATTCATCTTTTTCGATGTCCTGGATCCCCAAGAACAGCTCGATACCGTTTAGCTGACCGTACTTTAGGCATTTAGGCAACAAGCCGTTCTCGCGATTTCTTCTGGCTTGCTTATTTCTGTATCTTTTCGAAGACTTAGCTGACTCCATTGTGCTCGGCGTGGCTAGTATATGTGAGATGCTTTCTACAGCGACATGAGAGTGAATGCGCCTGAAGGGGGTCCTTATATGTTCCCCAAAGTGGCTGTGCCCGGAGGGCAACCCCGGCCATCTTGGAAGGGGAGGTGGGACTACTTTAGGTCCCACGCTATAAAAAGAGACCTCACTTCCATTCCTGGCGCGACTTGAATGCTAAGTAGATCTAATCTGACTTCCCGACATGGACCTGACCGACTGGTACGCAGTGGCATTCGGGTGCCTGATAGCGTTCATCTTAGCCATCAGGTCTTCCTCATCAGTCTTGAAATTGAAGTATGCGTGCGATCGGTATTTCTGTCGAATCATCAGAGGCGCTAAGAAAAGAACATGGCTAGGCGGCCTCCTTTTCCTGTTGTTCTTGATCGGTAACATCCTTGGCCTAGCTCTTTACGTTGAAGATATTAAGAAATTCGTTAAAAGATCTGGCCTCATGTCAATCATCAACCTGGTACCTCTATCACTAGGTGGTCGTATGAACATCATGGCAAATTACAGTGGCATTGATTTGACGACCTTCGCCGGGCTGCATCGATGGCTGGGCCGCATTGTCATTGTGGAAAGTCTCATACATGCTACGGTTGGAATTTCGTCACAACGGCTAGATCTTCACGGTGCAACGGACGTTGCAGCCATAGTGGTATGAGTCTTTCTGTACCTCAATCTGTTCTTCACTGATCATGGTAGGCGGCTGCTACCTTAGCCACCATTCTGCTTTCTGGTGTTCTACGCCGCTATTCGTATGAGGCGTTCCTATGGCTGCACATGCTACTTGCCGTCGCTGTCATCGCCTCTGTTTACATACACCTACCTATCAGGGAGTTATCAAAACCACCCGCGGTACATCTCCTCTCGGCGGTTTGTCTCCTGGTACTCTCCGGTACCTTTCAGTTTCTGCACATCCTTTATCGCAATGTCAGGCCTGGAAAGCCACTGGGCATCGCATCGGTGCGACTCATTACATATAAGCGGCAATACAAAGAGGACATACCTGTCCCAGATGCCGTCCACTTGCATGTTCGGCTGCCTGCGCCGTGGGAGCTGAGGCCAGGCCAGTACGTCTACCTCTGCATTCCTGGAGTGAGTCGCACATCATTCATACAGCTTCATCCCTTCTATATAGCCTGGGGATATTGTGACAATGATGGGGAGAACTATGCGGTTCTCATAGTTCAGAAAGAGAAAGGTTTCACGCAGAATCTCTTCTCTCACGTTGGGAATGACTTTGGTGACAGCTCGCAGATGAGAGCGGTCATTGAAGGGCCATACGGGAAAGAACTGAATCTTGGCCACTTTGGAACAGTGCTATTGTTCACCACAGGTGTTGGGATAGCGGCACAGCTGCCATACGTGTCTCAGCTTCTAGCCGAGTATCAGGACAACGAGACCAGAAGAATTGCTCTGTTCTGGGAGGTGGAAGCAGAAGGTGAGCGAATGCTTCGAGTCACAACCGGCCCTTCTGACTGTGAAAATAGTCCAAATCGCGTGGGTTGCCGAGAGAATGCAGATGCTCCTGAGCCAGGATACGAACAAGGCAAGTAAATGACGAGCTGTCCGACGATTGCATGATCCTAACGTGTTGCAGATCCTTGATATTTGCCTTTTTGTGGCGGGCGGGTTCCTTTCTCCAACAACTCGTCGAGGAGATCACGTCTTACTTGGTGAGCGCATGGACATGACATATGATGCGATGGACTCT